AAAGAAAGAAAGAAAGAAAGAAAGAAAGAAAGAAAGAAAGAAAGAAAGAAAGAAAAAAGAAAAGGAAGTGTCCTTTATCAACTTACGCTTCCTGAAAATCATTAGTTAACACTGTGCAGTCAGAATAATTTATGATATGGTCCACTATGTTATGGGTTTTATGTGTATTTTAGAAAGAAATTTTAGATTTATGTTGAAATGTATAGAATATCTCCTGCCTGCCTGCTTAAAAGCATGAGGAGAAGCATGGCAAAGTAAGAGGTAAGTCCTATTTGCAGCTTCCATTTTTCTCCTCATGGCACTGTTTACATGGTTACCCAAGACCTCATATGCTTACATCCCTTTTCTCCCTTCCTATGCAAACCGTCTACAGACTGCGCCTCTCCACAGAGGAGAGTCCACAGGACCAGTCTAATATTTTTCCCCTGTATTTTTCCATACCCACTTCAGTTTTCCACACTAAGTCTATTCTGCATATTCTGCCAAGTTGAGTATCCCACTGAGTAGCCAATGCCCCATTTTTAATGTCAGAACTCAAACATGGGTACTTAGGTCTCATTATGTGGTGAGGTAAAGTGCATATTTCCTGATCTGGCAACCCATTCCTTAGCAGCAGAAACCCAGTCTCCCTTCCTGCGCCTTTTCTTCCATTTACTATCCTACAGACAACATAAGGTCTCCATGTTCACTCCTCCACAAATGCAGTTTGATCATTGATTTGCTTTGCCATGAAAACCTGCCTCTTCTGATCTATTAAACTATAATAGTATTTGAAGATTCAAGTTTTCTAAAACACACAGTGGCTGTTGTGTCTAACTCCTCCCACCTTCTATGGCACTTCATCTACTTGTCATATTCCTTTAAGTCCCCCCTATTCTAGGGTGTGAACTGTTGTTGGGAGTGACTCTAACACAGTGGAAAATGCAGAAATTGCTGTTATGTTTTAGTGACTCTATGATGGTTCTGTAGCTGTCTATGTGGTCGTGTTCCTGTAACTTACAACCAGCTTGGAAAAACCAAAGCAGTGGGAGATGAGCTTTTAATAGTGCTTACTTCAGTTCTTTTGTTGCTTATGATAAATTTTCTTTCTTCAAAGGTTAAAGCAGTAAAGTTGGGTCACATTCTAGTAGTAGACGAGGCAGACAAAGCCCCAACAAATGTCACCTGTATTTTGAAAACTCTAGTAGAAAATGGAGAAATGATTCTAGCAGATGGAAGACGTATTGTTGCACGTGAGTACTAAAAAGCAAAATTATCCTTACTATGTTTTTGCATCCTTAGTATATTTTGTTTGGTTGTTTTGTTTGTTTGATGCTAAGTAGAATTGGAGCTTCAATCATGGAATTGCATGCTCTGTCACCAACCTACATCCATAGCCCCCAGTTTCCCTTTTTGTTTGTTTGTTTTGTTTTGTTTTGAGACAGGATTTCTCTGTGTAGCCTTGGCTGCCCTAGCCTCACTTTGTAGACCAGGCTGGCCTCCAATTCACAGGCACACAGGTCTGCCTCCTGCGTGCTGGGATTACAGATGTATCCAGCTTAGATTCCCTTTTCTATAATCAGTCTTTGAAAATTTCAATAGTACAAGTAAGACAAATTGGCTTTATACTGTTCTACTCTGAATATGTCAACCTTGATTCTATTATTGAATTGATATCTAGAAATTTTAGAAACTCTGGCCTGTTTCTCTTGCTCATAAAACATATTTTATTATTGGCTCAGTTAAAAATCACCAATGTGAGCTGGAGAGATGGCTCAGGGGTTAAGAGTACTTGCTGCTCTTCTAGAGACTCCAGATTCCATTCCAAGCACCCCCATGTTGGCTCACAACCATCTGTAACTCTAGTTCCAGGGAATCCAGTGATGTCTTCTGACTTCCATTGGCAGCAGGCACACATGGAATACATACATGCAGACAAAATGCTGTATACATTTGAAAAATAATTGGAAGTTTTATTTAACGTGTATGTTTGTATGTATATGTACATTTTTTGTGTATATATGTCTGTATGTATATCTCACTCAGGAAGAGGTATATTCTCTGCTTTGGATTTTCTTTTCTTCCTCCCCAAACACACATTATTTTTCCAGTATTTACTAAAAAGAAAAGAAAGAAAAGAAAATCTCATCAGTCTTGTCTTAGTTAGGATTTCTATCGCTGTGATAAAACAGCACAAACACAAGCAGCTTTAGGAAGAAAAGATTTATTTCAGCTTATAGCTTACTGCTTACAACTCTCCATCACTGTGGGAAGTCAGGGCAGGAACTCAAAGCAGGAACCTGGAGGCAGGAGCTGAGATAGAGATCATGGAGGAACAGTGCAGACTGTCTTGTTCCTCAGAGCCTTCTCGGTTTGCTTTTTTATACATCCCGGGACCCCGTGAGTAGAGGTGACATTCCCCACAGTGGGCTAGGCCCTCCCTTAAGAAAATGCTGCACAGACTTGCCTCTTCCCAGGTGACTCCACCTTGTGCTGACCAAAAAAAAAAAACCTAGCCAGTGCAAGTAAATTTAGCTGCTGCAAGGCAACTTAAGTTTGGCAAAAATAATGCAAGATGTTGATTTCAGTTTTTGTCTCCTGAAACACTTGAAAAATGTGTAAGTAGTCACAGAAAATAGACAGCCAGTACCGTTAAAATCAGTATGGCAGAGCGCTCTGTTAGGAAGGTCAGTGCCATAGATATGCTGCTCTCTGATGTTGTAGCCAGGCCCCTACTTAGCACCAGTAACAGCATTCTGTCATTCCACTCTCACAGTTTATGAAAAATGAGAATGAGCCTCGGCCTGAGTATTGTCCCTTAACAGGATCCCTGAGACTCCCAACGGTCAGACCTTAGCCTGCTCCTTTGCTCTGGACATGATAGCACCACAAAGCTGGTGTAGTAAGAGGGAAGACAGGGCTGCCGACACCAAGCTGTGACCAAGCCTGGCTGTATCTGGCCCTCTGTGTCTTCTCCTATGATTTTGAAGGCTAGCTTAGAAGTAGAAGAACATAATAATTTTCAAACTCAAGTGTGATTTTTTTTAAGTGGCTTTCTTTCCTGGGAGTTGAACCAGTGCCTCATTGATATTACTTATTTGCTCTAGCACAGCCTTGTAGATGAGGTTTGAATCAGGAACACCTGAAGCTGTTTGAGCCAAGTTTCACAAAGGACCCATTTTGTTTTTCAGATGCTGCTAATGTGGATGGAAGAGAAAACGCTATTGTGATTCATCCTGACTTCAGGATGGTGGTTCTGGCCAACAGGCCTGGCTTCCCTTTCTTGGGCAATGACTTCTTTGGAACTTTAGGTAAAAACAGCTACTGTAAAAATAGCTAATCATTTCAACAGCAATGCTGTCGTGGCCGCTATTACTCAACCGTGGATGTGTCTCGTCATGACCACCTGGGGGAAAGAGAGTTTTTGACACTCACAGGACATTTTCTGGAGGAGCTGGGCTGTGTGTACCAGTCTGACTTAGCACCTTTCTTCTTAAGCAATTGTACTGTACGTCGCCACTGTTTAATACTCCATAATGATTGGCTGTTAGTGACTACTTCTATCACTTCCTCTAAAGAAAAAGACTGAGGCCAGCTGTTCAGAGTCTGGTTCATAGACTGAGAGGTTCTAGGAGATGCAGCGTCATCATCATCATAATCCGTAAAGGAGTATTCCTGTATTTTGGAATCTCATACATAGTACAAAGCAGGCCCATGTTCTTATTAGGATCATGATCTGGCCATTTCACATATGGGATCTGTCCCAGCAGTTTACCTGCATAATCATTTTAGTTCAAGGGCAGTCAGTACAACATTTTGTGTAACTAGAATGAAACCAACCCACTGTCCCTCCAGAGGAGACTAGATAAAGAAATTCTTCTGTATCTACCCAATAGAGTAGTGTGCCACTATGAAGAGAAATATAAGTAACACCAGCATGCTGAAATGAAAATCAATCGCCAGAACATTAGTTGAAACAATAAGCATGGAAAGGATAGCAGTCTATATATTTTAGAAGGGACTAGTCACTCATATTGTTTCTGCAGTTTTTATTTCAGATTCTTACATTACTGCTGCTCTTACAAATGTGCTCATGTGAGCACTCCAGAGCAAGCCTGTAGTTTTCTCTATATAGCAAGGTATAAGTTCTCTCCAGGCCCAGGTTCTTCATAGCTCTCACATTCATTCTAAGGCCTGCAAGGGTGCTCATTGTCTCTTCCTTCTTGGTCTGCCATTTCCATGTACCATGTAGTCACTCTCATTCCTAGCTGATTGTCTCTTTGCTCCTTGTCACCCACTCCAACCTCCCCCTCTTTTCCATCCTCTTCCCCTTCCCACTCCACTTCCCTACTTCTTCCATGTCCCTGCTCCACGGCCCCTCCCCCCAGTCTTGGGTCTTCCAAATCCCTGGCCTCTTGGCACCTTAAGGTTTTGTTTTGTTTTGTTTGAGGCAGGATCTCTATTTATTTATTTATTTGTTTGTTTGTTTGTTTATTTTTGCCAGCTGCTATTATTTGTTCTACTTGCTTTGTAGTAAAACTCTGAACGTTGTTTTTGTTCAGAAGTTGCAGTTCCAATCTCCATTTCTTGTTCACTCTTCTCAAGTCTGTTCTAATCACATCTTTTCCTGAATGACCTCACAGAGGCAATTCTTGACTAAGCCACTGGGGCCATCGCCATGACTAAACCCAGGATGGTTACCCTGGCTGTGCTTTACCATCAACAGCACTTTGTACAACTGTCACTGTCCTCTCCTTACCTGACTTCTGGTCCTTCCTCAAGTGCTTTCTGGGCTTCTTCCCACACTGTTGACCATTCTTTCTCAGTTTCTTCATTGACTCCTTTCTAGAATGTTCTAATGCTTTGTCTATCTACATTCATTCCCTTGGCAAAATCAAAGTATGTCATATTACAGTACCAATTAAATGATTGTTATTACCAGGAATTTCTCTCCAGCCAGACTCTCCAGTTCCCTGCTGAACACACTTATTTCCAACTTGCCTGTTATTAGCACCTTACTTTGGATCTAGTATTTCCACAGTATAAGATTGAATTGTTGAATGGATTTTTTTTTCTTCTTAATCCCTTGATTTAAGATAATAACTCCATCCTTCTTGACAGCAAAATCTTTCTTGACTTTTCTTTCCCTTCTTTCCCACCTACCAGGAAATCTTACTGGTTCTTAAAATAGGTTTCAAATTATCTCAGCATCACCAACACTGGCCATCACTTTAGTTGGAGCCACCACCCTCTCTCACCTCGACTATTTGTAATAATAATAGGCCAGTTAATGGGTTTCTTGCTTCGGATTATTTGTAATAATAATAATAATACACTAATTAATGGGTTTCTTGCTTCCACTCTTTCCTGTTGTCATGATCTGTGCATGTTTTTTTACCTTTCTTTTTTGCCCAATAAGTTAGCCTGCCATGATTTAATGTCAGTTAAAAAAGCTGAGCGCTTTGTGCTGCACACCAGCACCAGGGGATGACCAGAGGTTTGGGAGTTCATGGTGAGCCTGGGTTGATGTCAGACCCTATTTCAAAACACTTTTTTAAGAATCAATAGTCAGTGCTAGAGAGATGGCTCAGTGGTGAAGAGTGTTGTCTGCTCTTTTAAAGGACCTGGGTTCAATTCCCAGCACCTGAATGACAGCTCACAACTGTCTGTAACTTCAGTTCCAAGGGATATGATCCCCTCATGCCAACCAATGCACATAAAGTAAAATTAAATAAATTTTTAAAAAGAAACAGGAAAATACTGCGTAATTCATAAAAAAAAAAAAAATCAGTAGTCAGTAAGTCAGTATTTGTGCTCGTTGTTGAAGTTCCAATTCCCCCAGGACAGCATGAAGGAGGCTAGGTAACCCAGTACCTGCAGTGGGATGCTGTGCAGCAGGCCCTGAGCTTAGCAAACAAACCTGCACTAGCTTGCCTAACCGTGTTCCAGAGAGACTGCCTTCCACAGCTGCTGCTCTGTAACAGCCTTGGAGTCAGAGTCTCTTCTAGCAAAATGAACAGCCGTGCTGCAGACCCACATGTGGACTTTTTTTTGCCTACACAAGTTAGTTCTCAACCTGTGGGCCACTGGGGGTCAAACAGCCCTTTCATGGGCCTTGCCAAAGACCATTAAAAACACTGATGTTTACATTACAATTCATAATGTTAGCAAAATTACACTTCTGAAGCAGCAACAAAAAATATTTTTTATGGTTGGAGGGGAGCATTAGGAAGGTTGAGAGCCGCTGCTCTATACACTCTACAGTCTGTTCTTGAGAGCACTGTACTCCTCTGGTGAAAAATCCCCCTTGTTCCCCATTTCAATGAATAGAAGTTCAGCTCCCAAATGCTGAGATTTCTAATATCCTATGTGATGTCCCTTACATCCTGTCTCTCCAACTCTCCTGCCTCACCCTTTCGTATGCCACATATACTTGCTTTGGCTGTACCAGCCACCTAGAATGTTCTTCCACATAGCCTCATTTTCTCAGGCTTCACCTTCTCAGTGAAGCCCACTCTCACAGTCACTTGTACTGTCATGTACCATACCAGCTTATCTCCCTGTAACAGAAGATAAACTCCACAGGGATGGAAACTTTCTAAATCATTGATCTATATTACCCAGGGCTGTACTTGGCGTTTGGAAGATGTTTAGTAATTATTTGATGACTGCATGGTAGGGGGACCAAGTACATCTTTACATTCAGGATAATTTTCATTTTCAATGAAAAAAAAACAAAGCTACCCTGCATGTTTATATTTGAAAATGTCAGTCTGTGAGATGAAGCTTAAAGTTCTGATGCTGTCTGTTTTGTTACTTTTAAATATACACAGGTACTCTGACATATGCACACAAAAAATAACTGTTTAAATGGTTCCTAAATCAAAATAAGGTCCTGTTGCTGCTGGTCTAGGCTGACACATTACAACTGAGTGTTTTGCAAAGAAAAAAGGAGTCTGCCCCAGCAGGTTTTAATATCTCCCAAGAAGCATGTTTTCAGGTATCACATAACTTTTAATAGAAAAAACTCATGCAGAAGAAAGCACACACCATCTAGTTTTCTCCTGGTTCAGGCATTTTCTTTTTTCTCTGTATAGCCCTGTTGTTAAATGGGCTCTCTGGGATTTGCTGAGCAGCTCCTAGCTTTTGAAACCAGCACTGCCGTTTGCTCTGCACCGTTACAGTGGATTGACTGCTTACTGGATGTTGTTCTTCTCCTGCTTTTCTGTAGGGGACATTTTTAGCTGTCATGCCATTGACAACCCCAAGCCCCATTCGGAGCTTGAGATGCTCAAGCAGTATGGCCCAAGTGTGCCTGAACCTGTCCTTGAGAAGCTTGTAGCAGCCTTTGGGGAGCTGAGGAACTTGGCTGACCAAGGGGTTATCAACTATCCTTATTCTACCAGAGAAGTTGTCAACATTGTCAAGCATTTACAGGTGGGTAGACACCTGTACGCAGGTGTCTAGGAAAACCATTGTGTCTTCCAGACTGTACAGTCTATAACTGATGTCTCCATTCTGTGATTGGTGAGCCAGGCAGCCTGATATAAAGGGTGCACAATCCAGATAGTAAATCTGGAAGACCAACAGGCATTCTCACGTTAGTCTTTGAGTTGGCCTTGGCAAGGTTTTGTGCCATGGTCATTACCAATCAGCTAAAAAAATTTGATGGACTGGTTTTAGTTTGGTCTGGTTTTTTGATATGTGGGCTGCATGTATGCGTGTGCGTGCGTGTGTGTGTGTGTGTGTGTGTGTGTGTGTGTGTGTGTGTTGGAGGGACAAATTATTAAACAACAAGGAAATGTTTCAATTGTTTGGCTTTTTACAACCAGCATATGATATCTGGGTAGGAAATATTACAAGTGTCATGAAGGAAAAAAGCAGAACAAGAGCTAACTGATAATATACTAATGCAACATTTGTCAACAAAAGATAAGTGGTCCAGAGAATAAAGTTTCTGTGGTCGTATACAGTGTATAGTCCACTTGATAAAGAAAAGAACATGTAAACTCTGTATAGCAAATAATAATAGCCAATCCCCACAGCCTGTGACTCTTGAATTCTCTCTTCTGTGTCTAACCCTCCAAGAAAACCTTATTGAAAACATAGGTTGCTGGGAGGTAGAAGGGAGAGAGATTTTAAATGGAGAAAAGCTTCAGTTGCTGAGGAAGAGATGCTATTACACAGTACAGTGACTGAAGAGCAATTAATAATAATGAAGCGGTCATTTCAAAGCTGCTAAGAAAGCAAATTTTAAATAATTACCCCTATTTAAAGTTAATTACACAAAGTGACAAAGAGGTCAGTTCATACGCTTTAATTACACTACAACATATACACATACAGGAATATTACGTTCTATCTTGAAGTCTGAGAACTGATTTGAAAAATATTATATTACATATGTTTATTATATAATTTTATATGTATATGTTTTATTATATATAATATATAATATTATATATATAGTAGATATATAATTATATGGGAAGGAAAAGGAGAACTTATTCTGTTTTTGAGGCCTTGCTAAGTCTAGGATACCAGCTTGGGTGCTAGCACCAAAAGACAATGAAAACAGTCAATGCAGAAACTATCAGTATATGTCTAGCTGTGCTGGCTTGTGCCTTCTTTACTTCCGTGCTCTAGAGAGCAGAAGGCAGCCACCATTCTCCATTTCCTATACTTAATTTCTTCTTCCCCTCATTCATAGACTGTGAATTTTCTAGACATGTGTGCTAACATTCAACATTTTATTTAGCTGATATGTTTAAATTGTTTGGACTTTATTATGAGATGCTTGTGCATATGCGGCATGGTGTTTGCTCTGTTCCGTCCTCCCTCACTGCCCTTCCTGGTTGTTCCTCTTCTCATACTGGTTCCATTCCACCCACTTGTTCCCTCTGCTTTCTTGCCATATGTATATATATAATTAAAACTGGTTGTCCACTCTTCTTCCTTTAAACCTCTTCCTTGTCACCTATTATCCCCCTTCCACTCTCATGTCCTCTGTGTGTTTTTTCAAAATAGATTTCACATATGAGAGAAAACAGAATGCGTGTCTCTCTGCTTCTGGCTTACATCATGTCACATGATCTCCAGTTCCATGCATTTTCCTGCATTTTTTTTGTAGCTGCATAAAATCCTGATATATGTACACGCCCTGTATTAATTCATTCGTCTGTCTGTGGGCATCTAGTTCATTTCGTGTCTTGGCAGGTGTGAATAGTGCAACAGTAAGTAGGTTTAAGAAGGCAACAAAGGATCTGAGCAGGTCCTGACACCTGAGAGGAAGAGCTGCACCTCCACCATTTCTGTTGTGTATCTCAAAAGAAAAATAAGCTGTCTCAGTCACTGCTAAACCTGAGTGTGTGTGTGTGTACTTCTTCTGTCCTGTTATCAAACACAGCTAGTGCATTTGTGCTGAAGTTCATTAGCACACTGTTGTTCTGTCAGTTTTATAAACCTTTTTAATGTTGTATGCTTTATCTCATGTATAATGAGGAAATTTTTTTCTATACAGAAATTTCCCACCGAAGGTCTCGCCAGTGTGGTTCGGAATGTATTTGACTTTGATTCTTACAACAGCGACATGAGGGAGATTTTGATGAACACTTTGCACAAATATGGGATCCCCATCGGAGCAAAGCCTACAAATGTGCAGCTGGCAAAGGAGTAAGGAAACCCACTGTTGATAAATAGTCTTGAGCATTATTCTTCTGACTCTTAGAAACTGATGGTTTCTAATCTACTGGAGATACTACTAAGCTGAGCTGGTATGGGAAACCCTCCATGAGTAGGTGTTCTTCAGATGCTACTGTCTGCTGGCTGGTTCTCAGTTAGGTAGCGTCGGGTATAGTCCTATAAATTAAGGATTTCAGTTATTATGAACTTCCCACAAGTAGATGTAACACACTCAAATAAAGGGAAATATTTGTTTCCTTATCAGTCTCTGTCCTTTTGTTGAATGACTGTGGGTCTCGTTATTTCATAATCCAATCCATAATGCAAATCAGTGTACAGATGTGACAATTTTACAGAGTGATGTTCCTTTACCAAACTGCTCTGACTTCAGTCACCGTATAACTGTTTCTATGATAGGCTTCTTAACTGAGCAGACTAATGAAGATCAGAGGGTACTTATTTTAACTCTATAGATGAGAGAGGTAGTGAGAAAAATAATATTCCTAGCACACCTTTTGTATGCTGAAACCAAATACATTGTTGACCAGAAGGTAATTGGCAGAGTTTATTAACTGGAAAATGATGTCAGTGATAACGCATCTTATGCCATATTTGTCTACAAAATGTAGGTGATCATAAATTCACATAAAACAATTACAATTCTTAAGGAAAATTACTAGACCTTCTCTTATGGGAGGCACGATAAAGAATGAGGTTAAGTTTAAGTCAGTCATTAGTTTGGCAGTATATATTTTCCTAAGTATACATATTATCATTCTTCGAAATCATTATAAAAACATCATAATAAAAGCCAAGAAAAACAAATTACTAACATACCAAAAATTTCTCAAAGAGAAACAAATATTTCCCTTCTGTGATAAAAGCACAAGATGGTGTTATGTTAGACATTCTGAATGTACTGATTTGTCTTATCGATGAATAATTTTCTTTCAAGAAGTACGAGTGGGAGTCAGTTGCTTATGCTTGCATTTTTATATACAATATTATTTTACTGATTGGTTAGCAGCCCTTATGGGCATTTTGAACAAAGTAATTTATTGGGTGTAACATCTCCTATATTTGGGGATGCTTCGGTCACTAACACTTTTAATATCCCTCTTATTAACGCTTATCTCTCACTTGGAGATGTGATGGTTTTATCACTGTTAACAAGTGTATGTAATTAGGATTCTAGCTCTGTGGAAAGTAGGCTTGTGAATTACAGCTAATTTCTTAATGTTTGTGTATAATCTAAAGATTAAAACACTCATTAGTTTGCTGCATCAATTGTAAGAAAACTATTGGCAGGTTCCTCTTGGAAGGAAGGCAGAATAGTGGTTTGGCTTCCTTGTTGTCATGCTTGTTGTAAACTGCAGCTCTTGGCACAGCCTGTTCAAAACTGCCAGGGCGAGCGACTGTTATCTGTGGTATACCCGAGTGGAGGCCTGGAGACAAGAGGGTTGATCGTGCCCTTAAGGTTGGGGTAGATGCAGCCAGCCGTCCGCCACTGCATAGAGCTGAACATAAGCTGAGAGCAGATGTGGAGAGAAAGTCAGTCTTTCTGCGGTAGAGGTGACTGTATTGTGTATATTTTGCATGTCATTCAAAGAGGGTTTTTATCTGTAAATTGCACTGACTTCAGCAGGTCAGCGGTGGTGGTGATGTTTTTTGGGTCCTTCCATAAAACCCATGGGTGCCAGAAGACTCTTCCTTTCAGGTTACTAGCCTTACGCTTGAGAAGACAAGTGATATTGTCAGCAAGATAATGGCTTGGAGTTCAGTAGTCTATCATCTAGTCATACTGCATGCCTAGATCTGACACAGCTGCCCTGGGAGAGCTCTGAGTCTCACTTCAGGCATTTGAATTTGGAGAAGTTTCTTAGCTACATGGGATCCATGCTGGGAAAAATGAGAGGGTTTTATTATTGAAAACGTAAGAACAGAATTTGATATTCATATCAGGGCATTTTTGAGAATGGAAGAGGAAGTATTGGTAGCAGCTGTAAAAAGAGATCTGACTTCAGACTGGTCCAGGCTGCAATACGTGCTTATCCTCACACAGCTCATCACTAGGCCTTCTGCTTGTCTAACAGCCTTTGCCCTCTAGCATATATTACTATTTCTCTTATCTGCAAAAGCGAACAGAAACTTTATAACAAGTAATACACATTGAGCATCCCAATCTGAAAATCCCAAATCTGAAACTTCTGAGTGTCAAAATAATGCCACAGATGGGCATGGTGGCCCACACCTTTAATCCCAGTACTCTGGAGGCAGAGGAAAGTGGACACTGTGTGTTGAGAGACCCCATTTCAAAAACTAAAGATACTGACATGGAAAAAATGCATGCCTGAATTTAAATGACAAGCTTCATGTGTACATCTGTGGTACACAGATGTACCACAAACGTATAAAACTGTCTAGGCTATGTGAATAAATTATGTGTAAAGAAAATTAATGTTTGTACTAGGGCCTCATCTCTACATTGTATGTACATGCAAATATTCAAATATCTAAGTCCCCAACTCTGTTGTCAGACCTTCACATGGAAGCCAGCCTTGGCCAATACAGCGTTTCTCCAGTTGCATAGACTTCTGAAGGCATTGTATTTCCACTTCTAAGGTAGAAGGGTAAAAATGCTCTGAATACTTTAGTATCTTTTTTCCATGAATAAACTTTCCTGTTATAACCTGTTAATTCTCTTGTTATGTAATTAACCATCATCCTGATTGGATGGGAGCAAAAGTCACACTGAGTTTAAACAAGGTGGTCATAGCTACACTGAAGATGAGGGTGGGAAGATACTTTAGCCACCTTCTCATATAGCTTAAAAGAGACAGATGCTGGAGCAGAGGGAGGTTTTTACATGGCATTGACACCCAGCCACAGCTGTCTTCCTTCCTCAATCCAAATCAGAAGACAGATGGGGTGTTTAAGAGTGGTGTTGTCAAGCCAGACATTTAATAGCAGCACGTGGGAAGCAGAGGCATGTAGATCTCTCAGTTCAAGGCCAGCCCTATCTATACATGAGTTCTAGGACAGCCAAGACTGCATAGTAAGACCCTATCTAAAAACAGAAACAAAGAAAAGAAAACTGCTGTCTCCCTTTTTTTTTTTTCTCTCTTAAATAGTACAGAGTCTTTATATCCAGGCCTCTCTGCACAGCTTTTGTAAGACTCAGTGTGATAAGAATTTAACTGTCTTGCTTAAGAAAACTTTACAAACCTGTTGGGTTTAGCTTGAGGGTTTGTTTTGTTTTATTTCATTACATTTTGTCTGTTCTGGTCACAATGGTCACAATATAGCCCTTTTTCTTGATCCACAAACACATTCCCAGATCCTGACGTTGGGTTAGGACTGATGCTCGGACTTCCATTTGCCCTTACCCCTTTCCACTGTGACCTTCTCAGCCTGGTTTTGTTTTGGTTTTATCTGTCTCTTTTGCAGTTTCTAATACATGAGAAATGACGTGTCAAAGAGATGATAAATATGATCAAATCAGTCACCTTGGTAAAATTTCTTCAAAATAGAAATATGCTTCATAGGGAATTTAAATTTCATTATTTTATTTGTTCTACAGTGAAACAGTTAGTTAAGGGTAATCAGGGGTGCATGCCATATGGAACCATACAAATTTGAATGCTTTAGGGTCATGTGCAGACTTGGGAGTATTTGGATTAAAACTAAATGGCTTAGTTTTAATTACCATTGTTTTTATGTGTTGTGTGTATGTGTTGCTACTTAATTATATATGTATGTAATGTATTACATACATGACAGAATTAGTTCTAAACATCCAAAGAAAGACACTCCATACCATCTGCTATAAACATAGGTACCTATGCATAAGTTACACATTTTCTAAGCATAGATTGCTTGTTTGTTCCTCAACTGAGCTCTTACTCCGAAGTCCCTTTTAAGAGTAAAGAGTCTGCTACCATATCAATGCTTTTAAATTAAAGGTCTATTTTCAGATAATTTATGGTATTTCTCATGGTGGAGACATTTTTAAATGAAGGAGGGAGTCCATTTTTCAACCTCCATTTTAAATGACACACATTATTTTATACTTAAGAGTAATTAAAATGAAAGAACCGTCATTTCACAAATCTAAAATAAAATTCAAATACTGTAGAATGCAATGATTATAGCCTTTTTATTGTCATACTAATGTGATAATGATAATGGGATATTAGATAGTGGCCGCAGATAACTGTAGATAACTGGATGCCGTGTACTCCTCTAGGCAGTTTTTTCTACACGATTTAAAAGTAATCTTCATAATAAGACTATTATACACACAATGCATATATCCACATACTATGCACAAAATTGCATTTGTAGATAAGGAACTTGAGACAGAGACTCTTAGAACAGGGGTGGGGTTGCTGTCTGTGTGTGTGAGTGTCTGCCTGCACCTGCATGCTGTGTATGTTTCAACTCTAATGAAAATATTAAAAAAATTAGTTATTAGAGGCTGAAAATTATTGATTTTTGTTTGTTTGTTAAAAAAAGGACCTTACAAAATAAAAGCAAAGAAACATGAATTTCAAGTATTCAACTGGGAAATCGCCATTGTCCAATGTACTATGTACACACAGGCATGTGCTCATAAGTTTTTTTTCTTTTTATGACATGATGGAAGATCTTAGAATAAGACCCTGAACGATAATCTCTGATCTTCTCTCTCTCTCTCTCCTGACTCAGAACACAAGATGGCCATGGTCATTGTGAAAAGCATAAACAGGTTACCCCAGCTGCCAGACCTAGCTTCTGCTTCTTGCCTACCTGTAATACACAACCTTGAAACCTTAGTGGCCACAATCTTTGATCCAGATTTATTGCCCTTGATTTGGTTTCTCTTTCCATGCCTCTTCGCTTATTGTAAAGCCACTTTTCGTCTTGCTAGTTTGTAAACAAATAAAATCAGAGACTGCCTTAATTTTGGCCTATAGAAATAGCTGCTTGAACCTTGTTTTCTTGTATCCCAG